AACTGTTTGGAAATGGAATTAGTAATTCAAAGAGAAAAGGGAGTGGAATAAAATTTGTAATCATTGAAGAGTTTGTCCACATATAAATTGGTGATCATGGATATATTTAGATTCTGTTAGATACATTTTAAAGTGATACAATAGTTTATAATTAAAGTTTCAGTATTTAAAATACTTACAAGTGCATATTTTCCAACTAATCACATTAAATAGAAAATATTCCTAATGTTGACTTTAAAATGCAAGGTGAGTATATATATTTTCAGAATTCTCTTAGTGGGAAGAAATACAAAAAATATTTGACAGTCAGGCTCGGTGCCTGTAGCTGAGGTGGCTAAGGTACCAGTCACATACACCAGATCTGGTGGGTTCTAATCCAGCCCGGGCCTGCCAAACAACAATGACAACTATAACCAAAAAATAAAAAAGTCAGGCATTGTGGGGAGCACCTGTAGTCCCAGCTACTTGGGAGGCTGAGGCAAGTAAGCCCATTGAGTTGGAGGTTGCTGTGAGCTATGATGCCACAGCACTCTACCCAGGGCAAAAGTCTGAGGCTCTGTCCCAAACAAACAAACAAACAAAAATTTGACAGTGATTATTGTGATACATGCTTGTCATCTGCCTCTTTGGATATTCTCTTTTGAGTCCTTTATCAAGTTAGACCACTGAAAAGTTACATAATGATTACACCATACTGGTTAGGCCCGATGAGACTCAGGCCCTTCACTGAGTTGTGCTTTAAAGGTAATGTTCTTGGCTTTTATGGAAGGTCACTGAAAAAAGAAAAAGCATTTGAAATTTGCTTTATACTTGTTGTGATACAAAGTTACTAATTTTCTTCCAGATTTAATAATAGGTTATTTTTTGTTTTCGTTGTTGAAATGCTTTCTTCTTTCTGAGTAGGGTAACTATATAATTTAATGTTTCTCTTTTTGCCCAGACTGCTAGAAAATTTAGATCCACTTTTGATGCTCAGCTCTACTATTGCTGAGCTGACCTTTTCAAAAAGAAATATTTTTCTCCTTGACTTTGATTTTATATTTAAAAAAATTAAGTTTTGGAGCTGGCGCCAGTGGCTCAAAGGTGTAGGGCCTTAGCCCCATATGCTGGAAGTGGTGGGTTCAAACCCAGCCCTGGCCAAAAACTGCAAAAAAAAAAATTAAGTTTTGAGCTATGAGTCTAGCACTCTGGGAGGCCAAGGCAGGTGGATGGCCTGAGCTCAGGAGTTCAAGAGCAGCCTGAGCAAGAGCGAGGCCCTATCTCTACTAAAAATAGAAAAATTAGTTAGGCACTGTGGCACAAGCCTGTAGTCCCAGTTACTGGGGAGGCTGAGGCAAAGAGAATCGCTTTTGTTCAGGAGTTTGAGGTTGCTGTGAGCTATGATGCCACAGCATTCTAGCATGGTGAAACAGAGTAAGACTGTCTCAAGAAAGAAAAAAATACTAATTTTTATTGCATATTTGTCCCGCCTGAGTATATAAAGATATACTTCAAATATTTCCTGGAAAAAGATGATGTAAAATTTTTGATGTAAAAGATTTATTTTTATATTCCAACAATGAGGGGGGAAATGAAGTAATTTCAGCCTAATATACACATTATAAAATTTATTAAATTTTGATTTGGGAGCTAGCCTGTACACTTACGAAATATGTCAAAGGTTGGAAACTAGTTCTAATATTAGAATGTGTGTGCTTGCCAGTTTGATTTTGTAATCTAAAGAACTTCTGCTTCACTTTTTCTTACACTAAAAGGGAAGATTTCAAATACATAAACAGCTTTGATACTCTCCTATTAAAAAATGTTTGCTTTTTAACTGTTGAGTTTATGGCAGATTGATTGTTTAGAAAAACTCAGAGAGACACACCCATGAATTAGCAGTGGCTCTTTGGGAATCCTCAGGGGAGAGTGGTAATAAAATTTACTATTTTTGTAGCAGTTTCTGGGAAAACCAGTTAGTCCAGCTTTACCGATTACTCAACTTTACATGACACTGTGTTGGAATATTAATTAGTAAAAAATTTTTTCTGTTGTCAGAGCTTCTAGGCCAGTTATAAGAAGAAAAATACTAAAAACCAAAATAAGATTGAGAGAAGAAGAATGCAGCACTCTTGAATAATGTTTTTCATCCTGTGCCCTGAAGAATGAACTGTCTCATTAGGCAGAGGAAGTTAACTGTGTATCTTGAGTATGTTAGCCAGCTTTTTTCCTCCTAATTTTTCTTCGTTGTACAAAAACTTAAGTTCATGCAGAAACATTAGTCTATCAGTGCAATGTTAATAGTTTTCAATGTTCCTCCAGTCTTCGCAGATTCGGTTTTCATAATTGAGACTAGCTCCCACTGCCGCCCGGTATCCTTTGTAACAAGGTGACTCTATTTGCTCATGAAAACAATTGGGATATATTTCTGTGTCTCCTGATGCCTCCTCTGTTCTAATACCAGCAGAATCTCCTTATTAAAGAACAGGGACATTAAAAACCAAACAGGGTCTTGTTCGGTTATTGATTATAATTACCTAGTGACAGAAAGTATTCTCCATAAATACATTATGTGTTTAGCTTCTGTAGGGCTGAATATTGACTACTGTATTTTATAGGTTAGGCGACTTCATTTACGGCAGCGGTTCCCAACCTGTGGGTAGCGACCCCTTTGTAACAATGAAAATACATTGTGGCATCAGGAAGGTTGAGAACCACTGATTTAGGACCTCAGAATGCTCGGGACATCATAAATCAGAGGTCTGCAAACCTTCTTTGCACCCACTTCATTTGGGTGGCATCCTAAGTAGTTTACTGGCAGCCTGTCAGGCAAACTTCCACATTTTTTTTTTT